GGGGTACCAGGGTATGACTTTCGATAGAAGCCTGTCCTTTAGGACTCATGTGGAGGCAGTTGGGATGAAATGCCAAAAAGGACTCAATGCTCTCAAGATTATGGCAGCAAGAAATGCCCGAAAAGGACTCAATGCTCTCAAGATTATGGCAGCAATGGACATGGAACAAAGAATGCTGTTCACAATGTTCCAGCATATGATTCTGTCAGTGATAGATTATGGACTTGGAATGCTAACCACATCAAAGAGTCAGCTGATAAAACTTTTACGCATACAGAATGAAACCATACCGGTAATTCTGCGATGTACAAGAGATACCCCGGTTTTATGTATGCGATATATACTTGCACTGCCTACTATTTTAGATAGGCTCAAAGTTCTGCAAGCAAAGTCAGATCTCAGAGTAGATGCGGACAAGAGGCACCTCGTGCATGAAGCTCTAGATATATTTAAGGGTCAAAGACTGACAAGAGCAAAGTCTTGGATGGCGCAGGCTGAAGGCACAAATGGACATATGTGCAGGCTTGATAAATTTAGGCGAAGAGAGGAGTGGGTCAAAGTGTCCGATCAGGTATCAGATTTGTGTTGGGTTGTAACCACTTTGGGTCGTGAGTGCAAGGACTGGCCAGCTGGTGCTGCAAATTCAGAAGTTCAACAAATTATTCATGAAAATTTCCGCCCAGGTGATGTGATTGTCTATACAGGTGGCTCTGTGTTGAGAGGCAGAAGAAGTGCAGGGGGTTCATAGCAAAGGCGAACGGTCGTCGCTTGGTGCAACAAAGCCTTGCATATGATATCACAATGTCTAGTTTAAGAATGGAGGTAGAGGCAGTCACTGCTTCCTTCCGCTGGCTTGAGAATCAGCTGTACACATACCGTCTGTGACTCACAGAGCATGTTGAGCAAGGTGAAGACAGGCATGCTCCGTACAGAGTGGCAAGCATCACTCAAAAGGTCCCGGATAGTTAGCATCCCTTTGATATTTTCTCCATCTGAAGCCGGTGTGTTGGGAAATAAGCAGGCACTTTGTGGTGAACTGATTATGACAAGCTGGATGTTGTGAAGGTCCTTTGGGAGCGAGTGAACAGTGCCGAGGCACAGATTGATCATTACGGTCTGAGGAGAATGGTAGTGCGAGGGGTTACAATGTTATCTCGCTGACGCTCGACACTCAGGTAAAGGCGAGACGGATATACAATCAGACAGTTACTTGTTCCATCTGAATTTCAACTCTTCGCTTGCTGCTGAAGATGGTGACGAAACGCCTATGGGGGTGTCCTGAGTCCTGTGATGTCGTATCTTAATTCAACATTATTTTGGGTGGGATTAGGGGTGCTGACTCCACCTGTGGGGAAGGGGAGCACTTAAAAAGCTCAACGCTCCCTCCTCAATTTACTTATTTGCCTAGAACATTTGCAATGGAGTGAGGAGAGCGTGATGTGGTGAGTCTCGCAGGGCTTTGTACATACTTGTAGGTGGGGAAGGGGCGCCGTTGTTTGAACCCTCACCTAATTTGTGCCCAGTGGTGAGGGAGGGGGCGTGGCTGGGGGTAGGGCAGAGCCTCCGACTCTCTCCAAACTCCTCCCCCCCCCCCCCCTTTTTTTTTAAAACTAGAAAACGTTGTGTTATCTCTTTGGCGGCTTGCCTGGCGTATTCGCCCGTTACGATGCCAGTAATCGTTACTGTTACCGGAATCGACTGCTAGTTGTTTGTACATATCCGCTACTGGGGCAAAGGTCACGCACAGACCGTGTGCGTGTTGTCGGCTAGTGAAAGAACAGAAACACATTGCTACACGTAACCACCCAAGCGTATTAGAGTTTGGTAAGGTTTTCAGTATTTTACTAGACAATATATATTATGTATTAATATGTTTCTTATAGAGCCTGCTGTAATAATCGTGTCAAGTATTTTCATTTTCGCCAGACAAACATGATTTCATTGCACACAACGGAACCGTAGTTTATTGATATTATTATAGTGTTGTGTACAGATTTGTTAAGCTTAAGACGACGGATCAATGAACATCGTGGCACAAAGGTTGTAACTTAAGTAACCTATAAGTGCTCCTTTCTACTTCTGACTCAAGCCTGAATCTCAGCACAGTGGACAAACTCCATAGCACAAGAACTAAAGGAATAGGTTGTAAGAAAGTGCATCTAGACTTTGTGTTGTGTAAGTAAGTTTATTCAGGAGTAGAAGTAGTTGAAGTACTAAAAGTGAACAAAAGAGCAAAACACAGGGTTGGATTCATAATGAACCCCATGTTGGCGAAGAGAATCATAAACACAGAATACATCACAGAAAGAATCCTGACAATTACGACTAGTGACAACGGAGTAAATACATGTGTTCGAAAATATGCCCACTGTAACGCAACTAAAAATCATAATGGTGAAGAAAGACAGCAAGAGTGACTGAGAAGTATAGAGGAGTTTCTTTAATGAGCCATACACCAGGAAAATATTTTTGTAAGATCCTTGAAAAAAGACTATACCCTATCTTTGGAAGACAGGGAAGTAAAGGACAAATGGGATTTTGGAAGAACAGAAGCTGTACTCGTGCAATATTCACACTTAGACAGTTAGCGGGAAGGATAGTAGAATTCGATAATGAATTGCACTCTGCATTCGACTTCATAAACTAACAGAAAGCTTTCAGTTGGGTTAATAGGAATAAACTGCATAAGGTACTACAAGATTGCAGAGAAAACGAACATCTTATTAAATTCTGTAGGAGTTTATATGTGAACAGTCAGTGTGCAGTTAAAACAAATACAGGAATGTCAGAAAAGTTCTACATTAGATCTCAGCATCTGGAGTGAGACAGGGGTGAGTTCTGTCACCACTACTGTTTATCACATACTTTTTAGGAACTTTATTTTTCAGAGGAAGTATCATACCTACACAGAATACACAGGCTTCTGTTGCTGAAGATCAGTGCCTGTTTTACAGTGAGTGGAAGTGTACAATGCAAGAGCATTTAAACAGGCTAAGTTCAACATGCAAAATATATTTACAGGACGTTGCAGAACCAACCCCAGCACTTTCTGGCTGTTGTGGTTTTTCTAGGCAAATTTTGCCATTGCTTCTGGACGGTCGGCGCTCGGTACCACAGTCAAAACCATTGCAAGACAAACTGTCCGCAGCAGGGATAGAACATGGCATCTCGACATTACAAAGCGCGCTCGCAACGCCTAAGTCACAGACACCGACAAAGAAGATATGACAGTAAATGAAGTAGATTTTATACCCCACTAGGACATCACACAAGCGATAAACACCTGATGACACAAAGTGCCACCATGTGGATGAGAATTACCCGTGGAGAGGTCCCAAAAACCGCGTTCAGCCATTAGACCATATTTATGGCCTGGCTGTATTGCAGTCCCTGGCAAGAGCCAGGATGGGGCTTCAAAATAAAAAAAAATTGCATCCCACAAGGGGGTAGGTAGTACGTATATGACAGTAAATATGACTAAAACTGAAATAATATAATTCTGTAGAACACCTAATCTGCTGCATAAAAGGTTGATGACGTCTGAAGCAGATTAAAGACGTTAAATATATAGGAAGTATATTCTCAGAGGCGACTCAGAGGGATCCACGAGACAACATGAAGAGAGAACTGACCTGCCAGCTAAACAGACTCGCAGAAAACAATCAGATAGTTCTCGAGTGGATCCTGGCTTACTGTGGTATACCAGGAAAAATAGTTAGCAGACAGACTTGCAAAAAATAAAACAAAGGAGAAACAACACGCCTATTCATTGTCATTACCAGAAATTAGAACACTTATCAAAGGAAAATACAAGGAAATGTGGAGAGAACAAACAGTAACCACGTAGACTCCATCAGCAAACTCAACAGAAAGCAACATACAACAATTTTCCATCTACGAACAGGACACTGCAGGCTCAATCACCACATGCATAAAATAAAGATTGTACAGTCCCCACAGTGTGCTTGTCAAACAGTACCACAAACACCTGAGCACATTCTGCAGACCTGCCCTCTCTACCTACAACTTCGAAAAGACACATGGCATCAAGAGCAAAGTATGCAGAGCAAGCTATGGGGAACCATGAAGGACCTGCTTTTAGAGGCAACCCACCTGATGGTCTGATTTGAGCATACGAAATCGAACGAAAAGAAGAAAAAGATAATATTGCTATAATGAAGCAATAATTAATAGATAAGAAACTATAGTCCAGACCGATCGTCACATGTGATTATGTCGTTTCTCACTCGATCTCTTCTGGTTTTATTCACAGCCATTCTCAAACATCTCATCTCACAGGTTGTTAGTTTTCTCTCATTCTTTTGTCAATGTGCAAGCCTGGCACTGGTAACCTAAAGTCAGTTTAACTATTGTATGTCTAATTTCTTTATTGGGTCTCTAGTGGGATAGCAGGGAGTTCTAAAATTGGACCAAGTTTGTGCGTGACATTGTAGGCTTGTTGGATCTTTGATTCTGTCTCTTTATTTTACCATTGTATGTAAAGATGCTTCCCAAGTATTTAAATTCTTGCACTTGTTTCAGACTTTGCTCTTCATGTCGAGGATTTGTTGCTCTCTACTTATTCTCTTGACTTCTGGTGTTTTTTTTCAATATTAATCTTCTTGTGATGTTTAAGACAACTGTTGTATAGTTGGTTATGTGGTTCTTCAGCTGTTTACTTTCCCTGTGGAATGCGCACTGATCGTCGACAAAGAGTAGCTCATTGATGTCCTCCTTTTTGTCGACATCTGTTAATATAGTGTCTATTTTATTTATATTGTTTTGTATATAATGAAATAAATAACTTTATTGTTCATTCAAAATGTGAAACTCATATATAAATAATTGTTAATTATAATAATCGCTGTTAATATTTGTATTTCCACAGACAAGAGAGAAATCCTAAAATACCCAATTGATTTGTATGGGAACAAACTGTAGATTCTGTAAGTGGTTATACATTTTAAAATAACAAACCCCAAAACAAAGGAAGAGGCCAGCAAGTGACATGACGGAGAGAGATATAGTAAATAATGATTCTTTTCATATCAACCATCACAAGGAGGACAACAATACTGATGATGACACAGGTAATGATACTGACAGACGGATTGACATCAGAAATGGTCAGTTGAGCAAAGATATTGTCACAGATGAGTTGGTGAGGCAAAAAGCCTTCCGCTGGTGTCAAGACTCTATTGGTGGTGCCTGGTTGAATCTGCGTTCAGAAAAGGAGATGAAAATATCACCGGTAGGGTAAGTTGATTTATATTTATTTTATATTTTTTGTGAATTTATTACAAGTGTTTAATGTTTCTTACGAAATGTTCATTGAGTCATAAACATTTCTTCATTAGATAGAATAAGATTGTTGGAAAAATTCTTGTCCCTGGCCAATTCCCCAGCCTCATATCCAAGATGTCTCTTATATCCTTTCTTTACGTTCTTGCTGGTTGACCTCTGCCTCTTCTTCCAGAGACTATACCTTCCACTGCTCTTTCTAAACCACTTTGGTGTTTAATGTGGCTAAAGTATTTACTTTCTTTACCTATTGCACTCTATAGGCTACCGCACAACTACTGGCTGCATTATATCTGTTTATTGTGGTGCTACAGTATTTGTGTTCCTTTTCTTGCATCACATCAGCTAAGTAAATAATTCTTCTTGTTCCTGGTTTGCCTTTCCAGTTTGCAGGCTTTTTCACTACCTTTTTATGGTGACAAAGCAGGCATCTTATTTCATCTTCAGGTTTGCGTCTTATCTGGCACGTATAGAATAGACACAACACATGAATATTCAATTGTAATTATTTCTGCAGTCCCAGATAATGTTAAGTTGTTAATCAACAGATTAATCTCACTATATATCGATTGTATTTTGATGATCTTCATCTCTGTCAAGTTTTCTCCTTTATGCCCCAGCCAAATTTGGGCTATTGTTTTTTCTTCTTCGCCTTCTTCTTCGTCTTTTTCAGCATTATGAGCCCTTAGGGGTTCACTGCTGCAGATATCACCTGCCTCCATTTATTAGTGTGATTACAAATTTTTTTTATCATTTGGTTTCACCAAGTGTTTGTAGGTCTGCATGTATATTATCTCTCCACGGTCTTCTTGGTCTGCCTCATGGTCTCCAACCATTCAGCTCTCCTGTGTAGTTTTAACTTCTCTGTCATTTCAGTCTATCAACCCTCATGTGGCTTTAATTTGCAGCAGGATGTAGAAACCTTTTTTAAAATTGCACATTTTTTTTTTTTTTATTGTCCTGTTCTGCCATTAAATGGCACATAGGGTTCACAGTAAATTTCTCTATTCCATTCTATTCTGTGCAATCACATCAATATCAAAGATGGATTCCAATCCGGCCTCTTCATCGGTTTCTTTTAGGGTTTATTTTGGATGTCCATGCTTCCTAATGCTTTCATGTCCTTTTTTTTATTGCCTGTTTGGAGATTCCCTGCTCTGATTTATTCATACCTCTTGATTTCATCTAATTTAATGATTGATATTTTTCTCAGGCTTTTCCCTCCAAATGCATTTAGCTTTTGTTCCATGTCTTGAGTAGTTCTTTAACTTTCAATGACATTAGAATTGATAATACATAACTTTGTTTTAAAACTATACAGTTCCATTTTTTATTCAAACTTTTAAAAGTTGTTAATGCCTTGCCAGTGTATGTCATAATTTTTTAATTTTTATGACTGTAAAAATTACGACCTAAATAATTAAATTGATCTGTTACTTTAATTACCTTTGTCTCAATTGTTACGTCTGCTTGATTTGTTATTGGTGTCTTCAAAATGTTAGTCTTTTCACAACTTGTTTATAGTCCAACTTTTGATGCGATGTTTGCTTAATTATGTTTTTCTTTGCATGTCATTGTTTTTACTCAGCAGAACAATGTTCTCCGCAAAATCAAGGTCTTCCAACTATGTATTCTGCAGCCAGTCAATGCCAATCCATGCCATTGTTTCCAACATATTTTGTAATCACCTCGTCGGTGGATAAGACAAATAACATTTTGGCCAGGCAGCCTTTGTCAAACATGAACTAAACAAAGGTAACAACGAGGAGAGGAGAGTATACCATATACTAGGTATACTCTCCTCTCCTCATTTTTACCTTTGTGTAGTTCATGTTTGACAAAGGCTGCCTGGCCTTGGTATACTCTCCTCTCCTCGTTGTTACCTTTGTGTAGTTCATGTTTGACAAAGGCTGCCTGGCTGTAACGTTGTTTGTGTTGTTTTGTGCACATTTTTCTGCCTTCCCATTTGGTTAAGCTTAGTAGTCAAATTTACCTGGAATTCCTTAAACACCTAAATCTTGTTAACAGTATTACCATAGTGAAAAGAATGCTTGCTGCATGCTTGGCCACTCATGCAGAAACTAACACATGAGAGCTACCAGTTACTAATACTTCTATGCTATCCGTGCGCATGTACTCTCAGCAGCGAAGCAGCAATATGAGAATGATCATATAATACCCTGTTAGTGTAATTGTTACCTGCTAACGCTTAACTTTATCTAAACTGCTTCCATGTGCGAATTGATCACGCCTTGCCACTATAGATTACTCAACTACACTTTGAATCAGGGTACTTTTTCTGCTTAGTCTGTGTTGAATGACTCGAAAAAAGAAAACTATATTAAAAAAAACCAGGTCTATATGTTAACAGAAGTTAATATTAAAGAGTAACTAATGAAGCTCCTAGCTGTGTCATTGTTTCACAAACTGTTGTTGATTCCTCTATATGAAAGCAGCAGTAACTAGTTTTTGTTGTTTGAATGTTTGTGTTTGTTTCCAAAATCAGCATTCCCATAATTTGCTATTTCCCAGAGGTGGTATGTCCAACTACTTGTACCTAGTTTCTTTACCTGATGGAATGTTACCAGTCCGTTCAGAGCCCACGGAGGTGTTACTAAGGATCTATGGTCAGATAAGCAAGTCTACACTTGACTTTCTGGTGCACAACTCTGTAGTCTTTGCCTTACTTGCCGAGAGAAAGCTTGGACCAAAGCCTTATGGCATGTACCATGATGGAAGAATAGAAGAGTTTATTAAGGTACTGTATATGTTTGTTTCATTTATTTAAGGTAATCTTAAAAAGTTTGAGTAAACAGTGTGTAGAACAATCTGTAACAACAGTTAAAGATTAACATGGGTTATTGAGAACTGCGTGTCACAAGATGATGGTGTCACATATCTTTATTAAGATTTCCCCTAATTATAATAGACACTCTAAAGTGATTTATTGTTGAGATGGCGGCTCGTATTGGTCTAGGCGGTCTCCACAGCTCCAACAACCATCCCCAACACCACTTCAGGGATGAGGCAACTCAAGTGTTTGGCTCCATGAAATTTGTAAAGATATTCCTAGGCATGACTTGGCCAGACTTTCTCACCACTTGATAGCCCACAGACTGGATATGATCACCATACTAGTCAAACTCAGTATCAAGAGGTATCTGATCTAAGACAAATACACTCAGCAGTGAACTGTGAAATACCAGACAGGAACCAAGATAAGTTCTATATAACAAAGCTTGTTGTAATAAGTTCTAACAAATATATACACACACACATATATATATACATATATATACACACACACATGCATCTTTAGTGATTCCGTGAAAATGCTTAACAAAGTCTAGACTGGTTGTGTGATGAGTGGAAAATCCTATGAGTCATGAGGGGTTCCCTAATGTAACGTGTTAAGGGTCAAAGGCCAGTTAAGAATGAATCACAGGGGAGCGTGTCCAAAGTAGTCTTGTAATTTCCTCATGAAAGAGTGAATGTTTACAAGAAGAAACTCGGGAACAGGAAGACAGGTTTAGATGCAGGGAAGTAGGAATGATCAGTTGGTGTTTGACAGTGAGAGAAATAGTTCGGTTTCATTGAAACGTGTGTCTGCAGTAATAATTGACAGCGGGAACGATTATCTGATAGGCAGAGAAATGGCTGAACCAGGGGTGAAAGTATCTTGAACAGTCTAGTTGGCTGAAGGTGCATGCTGTGCTGTGTATCAGAGACGAGGACCTAGTGTGTGAATGGGACTTCTAGATTAACGAAGGTAATTGAACTGTTATTAACTCTCTGTCGTTTGGAAGTCATAGCAGTTGTAGCATACTTACTAGAAGGACCAGTGATGACCAGGGACAACGACGAAGTGGCGAGACTATTGTTTCAGTAATAAACTGTTGATCGTAAAATGAGTGTGGTCGTAATGTGTGATTGCTACTAACTTAACCAGTTGGGAGAGAGCTACGGTTGCTGTTGATCAAGAAATAAGCCAAAGAGCCACATTACAGGTTTCATCAGACAAGAACTGATTGAAGCACTAAGCACTTTGTGAATGGCTGCCCTTACCTTTATCTTTGTGCCAGGTCATCCGGGTGTTCATGGGAACGAGCAAACCTCGATTATAAACCCGGTGCACCACACCCTACTGTCCCCTTTGATAGGGAAGGAGCCGGAGGTGTGCTGAACAGTCTTAGGTGTGAAAACAAGTATGCTAACCCCCCTGAATACTGGAAACTATCGTGAAGGCACAGGGACTCAGGATGTGACGATCCAGTTGCCCCAACTACTCATGCTTAGAGCCATGAAGAGCTCAGCAAAACCAGCAGGGAATCTGGTGGCTGGGAATGAGTGCACTGTGAGCTGCACCTTAGCTACCTGTTAAAGGGGAAGGCAGAAACACAACCCATATTTCCTTTAGAATGTACAGGGCATTTCTGGCTGCGGCCTGGGGAGGTAGGTAATCCACATACACCCCAGCACCACAATGCTATACAATTGTCTGTTTAGGCGGAGATATTGGGATAGAAACCCCCATGTTCTACTTAAAAAAGGGTCGTGACCCACAGGTTGAGAACGATTGGTCTAGGTTGATGGACATGGGTGTGCTGCCTGGAGCAACAATAAATGAATATTTTACTAAGGGGATCAGATGTTTAATAATTCAACACAGAACAGGCATCATCAATCATTTTACACTTACAGAGCTTTTGAGGATTAGATCGGAGCACCTATGTATCTGTTTGGAGTGCTGTGATGATCATCATTACTAATCAGTAATGAATAATATGATAAATACTAGGGATTCCACTCAGGCATGGAAACTTTTGCTGCTGTAATTGATCTTGAACTTGCATACTACAAAGTACCTTTGACTTCTTGATGGGTCAGCTTCTCTAGTTTAGTTTCACTACATCCCTCATTAACTAGATCTCCTCAGCTCTCTTCAAGCGGAATTTGGTTTTTATATGCGATATCTGGGCAAATAAACCAATAACTATACATCCCGGTCTACCACAAGGTTCATCGTTATCCTTGATAGTTTTCAACATATTCAGATTATGGGGTCCAGAAGGACATTGTCCTTTACTGATGATGTATTGGTGTACTGATTTGATTTGATTCAAGAACCGACATCAAAGCACTCGGGGCATTCCCAAAAGCGCTCCGTCCCCATCTTCAGCAGCCAGCGAAGAATTCCGATACTGATGGTGCCTGTAGCATTCTGATTAAACGTCCGTCTTGCCTTTCCTTTGAGCCTCGAGCATCTGCTGGAACCTCTCATCACTCCCCCCTGCATCAGTTTCACCAGACTGTGGGGATCCATCTGCTCCTCTGAACTGTACACGCTCTCCCACAAGGCCCTAAACACGTCTGCCTTATCATGTATCAGTATTCCACCAAGTTGGTGTACTGTCAAATGCAGAGACCGAGAGCAGGTCGCTGGTTGTGTGAAGAAGCAGGAGCCGTCATCAGTGTGTCTAAGTCAACAGTGGTATGGTTTTCGCTGAATGGTATAAACACCAGCTGTAAGTCTGTGTTCGGAAATCATGGGGAAAACTCGCACAATGAAGTACCTGGGAATGTGTTACCTGGGAATGTGTTTTGATCAGACTTACTTTTTACCAGCCTATAAACCACATGATAAGGAAGGCTAAGGGAGGTTTGATGGCGCTAAGTATACTGAGCAATTGAGTAAGCTCTTAACCATTCACAGACAGAGAGCCTAGATTGAGCACAGAATACGACCATGCACATCATACCTGATGCACAAAGAATACAGTATGCAGAGCAATTTATTACCTCCTTGATCTTCCAACCATGGAAGGGAGAACTGTGCTCTGCCGTGCACAGGCATATCTGCATATCAGAGTTGACACGCATCAGTACAGTGTACAGTGAGATTCCCAAGAAGAATGGTAGCAGGTTAAATAGAGAAAAATCCTGGGTGAGTCAGGCCAAGGACATTATTCAACAGGTTTTTTCAGTTGAGGACATAGAACCTGGTGAGGAATGGTTTCGAGTGCCAGTAGAGTGGTGTACATCTTTTCAGTCTGCATAAAACTGGAGAGAGAATGCAGACAACAAAGCCTGTTGGTGGTTAATGTGGAAGTTTAAGCCTTAATTCTAGAAAATTCTGTTGATGGAGGCACAGCTATTTACACCAATCTATCATATGACATGTGCAAAGCTCATGGGCTTTCATTGTTCTGTTTCGATAGAAAACTGTTTGAAAAAATAGTGGTGCTTTTGCTTCAACTACTAGTGGTATGACTATGGAGGTGATGGCGGTAACAAAAGCACTGATATGACTAGAGACTAAGCATTTCATTTTGCAACGGATTCTCTGAGAAAATCTGATCTGTGAAAATCAATTTCACGTTTGTGTCGGGGCACTCCAGGATAAGAGGGAATAAACAAGGGATTGGCTTGCTGACAGGGCCACTGTAAGTATAGGACAAGCAAGAGACATTCAGAAGACAAGAACTTCCTGTCAAAAGAGGTGTCACCAGATATTAACAGTATACAGGTAACCAAATAAGAATAGTAAACCAACATAGAACTGATGTTATCAGTCACCACACGCTGATGGATTTCTTGTGCTTATGGACTTGTCCCATATGCAACGAGCATAATCTGTCGATTAACTAACTGACATGTTAATTATTCTTTTAGTTTTATGGGCTGTATTTTTTTAAAAATCAGGTTTTTTCTTTCACTTATTACAGTTTATAGATAGATATCTACAGATATTATTATTTTCACACACAGTGAAGAAGTTTTTTTTTTTTAGGCACGACCACTGCTTCCAGAAGACCTGCGTAAGCCAGATATTATGAGACTAGTGGCAGAAAAATTAGCCCAGTTTCATGCACTTGACATGCCACTTTGCAAAAAGCCTAGATGGTTTAAAAGTCTCGTAAGGGGGTAAGTTGTCATTTTCTGTCTCTCTGGGTAATATTCATGCATACACAAGATGCGAACCTTTAAAGAATGGGAAATCCATCATCGACTATGGCATAGTAAGAAAAAGTTTAAACAGATTATAAATTTTGTTGTTGCTTCTCACCCTCCGTTCCCCGCTGTTTGAATCTTTGATGGATCCCAAAGATTCATCATAAGACTCTGTTTTCAAAAATCTGTAATAAGACTTCATCTCTTTTAGTTTTGCTCAAAGTTTCAGAGCTATGTAAAATGACTGGTCTTATCAACGTGTTATATATTTTGATCTTGGTGTTGCGAGACAGACACTTTGACTTTAGCAGACGGTTGATGTTGAAGGTTAACTTTACGTTTGAAGGGAGATAACAGCAAAGTATATATTTTTTTTCACTCATTCTTCAGTGAGCATAAAAAACAATAGGTATGTACTCAAGGAAAATTAAGTAAATGTTAGCTATTAGTGATTAGGGTGTATTTTGCAGCAGTGTAGAAAATGTTTTGAAAAAAGCACAGTTGTCCTAGATTTTGTAGCCAAAATGACATACGCAAATTTAATTAGGCTTTTATTCACAGTTTGAGAGGTCTTGTTACATATAGACAGACTCATTAGACAGACTCATTGATTTTCTGTTTTACATTATAAGATCAGACATTAAGCAATATGCAAATTTTTCCAACGGTGTACATTCTTTGCATGTTCTCAACACAGAGCCATTTTTCTTGATTTGCACTGATAGATTTCAACACTTAGTGATTAACTGAGTATGAGCCGGAGAGTTCAGGCAGGTTCGATGCAAAGAAGCATTACAGAAGTCCACTGTGCGTGGAATCACATTTATTTGTTCTGGGACACGGGGGTGTTGATGGAAATGAAAGATCTGATAAGTTGGCTGAATTCACTGTCACTACTGACGGGGTCAGCCTATGGATCATGTTGATATCATGAATGCCCTTTGAGGAATGGAAAGGGTGGAAGACTTTGGGGGCAGTGAATCCACATCACTTGCAGAATGATAGACTTGGGAGTTAAGATCGACATAGCAAAAAAACAAAAACTAATGAGACACACATCAGAGGACCTGTTAATCACCATAGAACTGCTACTGTTAGTCACCCGATGCTGGGGTTCATACTGAGGGGAGGAACTGAGCACCTGTGAACATGTCCGGAGTGCAGTGATGATAATCTAACTTAACATTTCAAGCATTCTTCACATATGCATTTTTAATATTAATTGGTGCTTTTCAACTGTCTTCACCTTGACCTTCCAAAGACACTGTCTTTCATTGCTTGTCCAACCTTCTTTCTGTAGAACACCACATTCTTCCAAGAGATTTTCTGTTGCCTGCAGGTTAAGCTCATTGTCTCAAGTCCAGTTTAGATTCATCAAATAACATAACAGAAATTAATATTGTCAATGTAAGTGTTGGCCTGGCCTTAAAGCTTTATTACCAAATTAACTCACTCTTATTACACATAACTCCTGCTATTTATTATTTGTTGGGGGAAATTTACAAAACTTTTTTCTAAAGCTAACTCTTTTCTGGCCAGTTTCCTCACAATTTATTGCTTGCTTATAACTGCTTACCTGTCTCTCTGATGTTTTCACATTTTATGCATTTTTTAAACTTTCATTTTTTTTTCTACCTCTCTTTTGTCTGTCTTCATTGCAGAATGTTTGGGTAGTATTCTTCTTGTGATATTGACAAAGCCTTCCGATAAAATGGTGTACCTTTTAAATTATTACTTGACTGTTGTTTTTTTTTTTAATGTGTTTGTCAGCTCTTTTTATTTGTGTTTCAGGTGGATTAAAGATATTCATACAAATGTTGAATCAAACAGCAGCATAATTGACAAACTACTAAAACTGGTCCCTTCATTTGATTTGGAGACTGAGTTTAATGAACTACTGTGAGTACCGTTACCTTCACTTTTAATGTTGTGTTCTTATGTAAACCATGTTTACATTGTGTTCAGATTTATTTATTTATTGATGGTTGTGGACTTCAGTCAGATTGCTGGAATCTTTTGATGTGCAGCTAAGTTTTTCACTGACTATGTTTCAGAAATAGTTTAGGGCGAGTTATTATAGCATGTTTTTAATGCTGAAGTTGCCCGGCTCTCTAGCGTAGTTGGCTAAACCGGATTGCGCGGTGACCGGGTGACGAACTCCTTGTGGTCCGGGTTCACTCCTGGGGGTAGGCAGAAAAACCATATTTCTCCCAGATTTATGGTATTTACAATGGAATCAAGGCCGAAAGGTTGCGATATCCATAATACCGAGCCTAAGGGTTAACAACTCATGGCTTCTTGTTACTAAAACAAACAATGCTGCAGTTTTGTAGTCATAAAGTCTCCATAGACCTGGTCATCAGAAAGGAGTAATTCTGTGTTACTAATATTTTCATTTTTGGGCTTGGCATCTTTGACAGCATTGGTGATAAGATACATCCCTATCTCACTCCAGATGTTACTGTGAATGGTTTGGATGTGCCTTGATTTCTTCTAACTATGCTTCCAAGACTAAGACTTTACCCATCAATAAATCCACGCAGGTGTGACACTCACTGAGGCTCTGGTATACTCGCACCATGTTGCACCTCTTCAAAACTATCAGTGCCCACATGCAGATCATCATCAGTTTTAAGGAAAGGTAGCTTTGGCTTGTATCTTCCCATTCATCATTTGAGGGATTCAATCCTTCAATCCTTCAATCCTTACTCACTGATTCTTAACATGCTGTCACTTGTCTTTTTCCACCATTGCAAGCTGTAGAGCTTTTTTTCATCTTGGCCATTTCCTTCTGATGAGCTCGCTGTGCTGCTCTCTCATCTCTGGCTTTTTTCTCCACTAGCTCTTTCATTCTGGCTCACCACAAGCAAGATGTCCCTCATCCCATTCACCTTTCGGGAGATCATCCGCCACATCCTATACCTATCTTCTCTGCAGCCTTCCTCTTCCTCTCTTTCCAGATATATCCCACCATTACTGTTCTCTCTAAACTTTTTTGACGTTTCAAAAGACCAACATATTGAAATTTTCAGTGTTTTGTGGTCTTCAATAGCCAGCCTTCTTCAGCATTCAGTTCTTGAAGTATGGAGACATTTGTTCTTTTCTGTACCCATGATATATATTCTTAGAACCCGTCTATAACATTTGTATTCAAAGGCTTTTATGTGCTGTTCAGCTTAAGTGTCCAGGTTTCACAGGCGTATGCTACAATGGGAAAGATGCATGCTCTTAGAAATCTAACTTTTGTCGTTCTGTCTATCCACTCCATAATTTATTCAGTTGTTTTTGTCTTTGAAGAGCTAGAAAATCCAGAAAACTAGATTTGTTATTTAGATGTTACTAGAACAGTGAATTAGGAGATAGTGATCATTAGAATTTATCTCTCAGAAGAATGTGAACCTTTATGACTCTCCACTATAATTGATAGGTATATTATGTTTATGTGATCATTTATCATCAGTGGTCTATTTCCATTTGTAGGAAATGATCTGGAAGTTTTATTGAATCTATGATAAAAAACATTGTAAAGCTTGTTACATGCTATTTTCTGTAATAAAGGCAATTCCCTGAGAATGATATACTGCAGGCCATGACAAAAGCCACATGACTACGTAACAGGCTCATGGGGAAAAACCTGTAACCAGACACCTTTTTCTTTATTTCAGAATGGAGGCAAGGAAGCTGAATTGTCCTATAGTGTTTTGCCATAATGACTTACAAGGAGGTAACAATTTTGAGACATTCTTTGTTAATGAAACAATATTTTTTTTAATGCATTTAGCGAAATAGTAACAAAACAGCAACTTACTGTTAAATGGAATACTAAGAATTGTTTGTATTAACATTTATTTTATCCAGAGTGGATATGGTTAAAAACTCATCCTCATGTAGCAGGTCCTTTGCAGAACATTGCTCTCATCACAGTCTGCCTGAAAGAAACTCTGTCACTCGCCAGTTCTCCCGCCTCATGCACTTTCACACTCAAGGAGTCACTTATACCCTGTGCCCATCTTCGTGTCGGTCGGCCCCTGCCCCTCCTTCCTGGTACCATGCCTTCTGCTATAGTTTTTTCCCAATCTGTTGTGGCACTTGATATGACCAATATATTTCAGCTTCCGAGAAAGGATGCTGTTTATTAGCCAATCTTCCTTGATGTTCAGATCTTTTAAGATGTCAATATTTCTCCTCTTCTTTGTCCAAGATATTCTGAGAATCTTTCTATAGCATTTCAGCTCAAAAGCCTCTATTCTCTAAAAACTACTGAATGTAAATTTGCCTAGAAAAACCACACAACAGCCAGGGGCTGGCTGTTGGGGTTGGTTCTGCAACGTCCTGTAAAGGTATTGATTAAATAAGTTTAGCCATTGTGAGATTTTAGCCAATTAAAAATATTGACATTCATGTCAGCAATGCTTTGAGTGGGTTAAAATATTTTTCTTTCTGCAGGGAATTTTTTATTAGCTGAGAAAGTGACACCAGACACACCGAAGATAACAATTATTGATTGGGAATATGGTCACTACAACTATAGGTTAGTATCCAGTTGATTTCCCAGTTACGTGATTGACAATAGCCTTGCTGAGGATAAGAAACGCTGTAATTTAGCTGGGGATATGAAACACTGTCATTTAGCTGAGGATAAGAAACACTGTCATATAGCCGGGGATAAGAAACACTCATTTATCTGGGGATGAGAAACACTGTCATTTAGCTGGGGATAAGAAACACTGTCATTTAGCTGGGGATAAGAAACATTGTCATTTAGCTGGTAGTTGTCAGATTTGGAAACTTTGTAAGGGACACAAGAAGACTTGTGAACCAGCACCAAACTAATGTGATCAGTTTCACATTCAAATTCAGAGGAAATCTAAGCACATAAGAGATTCGAAACAATGTTTTCCCGTAATAAATTTAAATAATGCGGACACAAACAATACATTGCACAATTTATTGCCAGGCATATTTCACTGTATCTGGACTTCTTCAGGACATCCTCTGCGCCCTTCTTTAGCAAGCCGGCAATACTAGGGTGACCCATTTACTCTCAGAAATGATTTTTCTTGGGGCAATCCTGGGGTTCTGCTGTTATTCTGGAAGAATTAAATATCTATGCACCCCACTCCTGGGGTATTAGTAATGTTCTCATGCTCTGGTTGAAATGAAAAGCCATGTGTACTTGCTCCTATCCTCTTTGGAATATACCTCACTCCTTTTGAAATATGCCTCTCAAGATCAGGAAGGTGGTATATTCATCCACTCTTGATCTGACGGCAGCCTCTACAGTGCTTGTAGACTGAAAGCTAAAGCTAGGATTAAGAAGGTGTTTATTAGAAATCTGCTGTTTGCAGATGATGATGAAATTACCACCTGTTCAGAGCATAAACTGCAGTGTTTGCTGTCTGCCTTTGCTGATGCATGATTTGCTGATGCATGATTTGCTGATGCATGATTTGCTGATGCATGATTTGCTGATGCATGATTTGCTGATGGGTAGAAGACGTTGAGATTGTATTCTACTGCGATATAAAGATCATAAGTGGATCATGAATGATTGTCGCCAACCCACATGAGAATATCCACTTATATAGTGAGTGTGTAGGTTTGAATCCCAACACTGCACACCCACGTGAGAACTTAGACTAATATCAGAGCTATGTTATTCCCAGACACAGTCCTGGATAATCAAGAAAACAGCAAAAGTGGCTTGTACCATAAAGTGAAAGTAGCTGTACTTGTTTTCACAGGAGTAGGTAGATATCAAGAGTAATTCAAGACGAGAATATCAAGATATACAGTCAACCCTTCCGACTTTCTCCTCTCCTGGTATTAATGTATAAAGATTGCCCCCACCAAGTGTGATAGTGATTGTTTAACCTTTAACAAACTGTAACATAATTGTATTGAATAATTCTAACTAAAAATAAACATATGGTATTGATTTTGTAATCATACAAGATAATAGCTTAGTGATGGTAATGAATCAGTCTATTAGTTCATTAGGTACATATGCTAGTAGAGTGAGATGGTGTTAGGATGTTCTCATGAACAGTAAACGTTAGCCCCCCCCCCCCCCCCCCCCCAACTTCTTTGGTGAGTTACAAAATGGGAAACGTTTCCACCTTGAAGTCTTCACTCAAAGCATTTGGGATGAATGACACCAATTGGGAGGCTGCCTCTCAAGGCCCAAATGCATAGCGTGCAGCTCTACACAAGGGCATGGCTACATGTGAAGCAAACAGAACAGCAAGACTGATTAAGAAAAGGATGGACAGAAAGGCGACTGCAGGAGATCCCCTCCCTGGCACACTGCTCATTCCCTGTCCTCACTGTCCAAGAACTTTTCGGGCCCGCGTCGGCCTTATCAGTCATCTTCACACCCATACTTGATGAAAAAGTGTGGTCATCAACATCTTGATGGACAACACACACAAACATTAGGTAACTTGTGCACCTGGAACATCTCAGGATGAGACTGCAATTTGTCCCAGCTTGTCGTCCTCCTAATTCAATGAGGTCCTTGCACGCAGACCGTCTGCACAGAATAGACTGCACTGGTCCCTGTGGCATGTGGGAACTGGAAAGTTAAAACAAAAACCCATGTGCAAGCTCAGGTTTCTTACACACTGCAAGCATATTCATATAGAACATATTTCACCCCTCCTCCTCATATTCACATTCTCTCCAGTCTATCTGAAGATCTTATGTCTCACAGTGATGGCCACATAGCCTGTCTGTCCTCTCATGTCCTGTCATGATAGTTGAAGTCCTACAAGTCTGTTGTCTGTCCTCACTCACAATTCGAAACTAACTGACATGTTTTGACATGGACATGTGGTACAAGGTCATGTGCTGAAAACCCAAAACTTTACATGTGCTGGCTGTCCTGAATATTATATTTCCAGAGACAATTAATTATATACTCTCATGGTTTTTCCCTGGGTGGTCAGTCTCCTGAATAGGTAAACACATTAAATTGAGTACACATCACCATCACCACATTGCTGTACATGTGGGCATCATATCCCCACAAACAATGCACATGGTTTTGTGGATGTTTGAAACATAATTTCATTACATTTCATTATGATAAATATCAGTATTCAAGTCCTATTTGATAAACATGAAAACATACACTAAAAATAAAACATTCAAGAAATAGAAATAGTTTACCAGCTCCCCAACAGTTAGCTGAATCCTCACAGAACTGTCTCAGGCAGAATATTTATTTAGATAATTCAGGAAAGGTAGAAAAAGATAGCTAGACTCCTAACAAATGAATAAAAAGGAGTGAAAATAATATTCAATTATACCTGGGAAAATTCCAGTAATGTTTGTTGATGAGGTCTGTCAAGAGCACTATTGAGAAAGATGTTCATTTCTGTAAGGCTGTTCTTGATGCCACCCCTCCATATTTTCCTGAGGCCTTCCACTCACTCTGTACCCGTTGTAACGTTTCACTGTGGCTCGCTCTGGTAGAAAGTACCAGGGCATTCTTGTTAGGTGTCCAGACCACTTCATTTGTTGTTGTTTGATGACCTGTAAGACTGGCTTTATTCCTAGCATTCGTCTGATTTTGTGATTTCATATTCTGTCTTTCCTTGAAACTTTGCAGCTTTTCTAAGGCATTTCATTTCTGTTGTCACAACTTTACGCTCATTAAAGTTAGTCTCGTATCCTTTACAGGACATTGCAGAAGCAAACCAATTTGCCAAAAAGACTCACTCAGGATATTGTTTAGTGCAGGTCTTAGTTCCTGGCTTGCTGGCCGCAGTCTTAGGTGAATTGTTAGACTCAACTGTGTTAATTAAATTTCCTCTAGCAGAGCTAGCTCCTCCTTTTTCTCCTTCTGAACTTGTCTTGTTCAATAGATGTCAAAGCTCCTCCCATTTACCTGTTAGGCCAGAAACCTTAAACACTTTTTTGCATTCCCAGTCTATCAAGCTGGACATAGCTTTGCTTGGTCATCAGAAGAGTCACACCTCACTACCCCTCAAGTCTGCCAAATACTCTGACACCTGGTCCAGATTGTCTGCCAACACCTTCATTGGACAGGTGTAAACACTAGCTATCTGACCTACACTCAAGTGGGTTAATCTCAGGGGGAGATAATTACTTTATCCCAGTTGTCTGCTCCTGGTGGTCTGGTGACAAAGATATTTATCTAACACCTCAAGTTATACCCCCTATACTTTCCACTTCACTGATGCCACTAAGTCTACCTGGTCAGGGTGATCTGAATTATCTGACAACTCAAACACTCTGCAAGGTACTAATGTTTGACTTCAACTGAAGTCCAGGGAAATTAAATAGGTTTTATTTTTCTGGTCAACCTAGATTTAGGTTATACAGCCCAGGAGCAAGTTTTACTGTAAAACTTAAAATATATAAACACCCAAAAAAAAATTAATTTGAGGGAAAGCACGTTCTGGAGTTACCAGGTGTGTCTTCACAATGATACAGGAAGTAAGCCGAGTTTCTGGGAACAAAGTGTCAAGAACCATGTTGCTGGAGGGGGGGGGGGGGGATTTTAGTGGATAGGTTGAGGGCTTAGTCTCTTAGAAGTAGCACACTTAATACATTTGATCTGATTTGATTCAAGAACCGACATCACAGCACTCGGGGCATTCCCATAAGCACTCCGTCCCCATCTTCAGCAGCCAGCGAAGAGTTCCGATACTAATGGTGCCAGTTGCATTCTGATTAAACGTCCGTCTTGCCCATCCTCTGAGCCTCGAGCATATGCCAGAACCTATCGTCACCCCCAACTGCATCAGTCTCACCAGAGTGTGCTGATCCATCTGCTCCTCAGAACCACTAACCACGTCTGCCTTTTCATGTATCAGTATTCCACCAAGTTTTGCAGAGCCAGCCAGTCTGTCCACTGGTTCATTTCCCAGCACACTGCATGCCCTGGTGTTAAAATCCAGACAATACTCCCCACCCGTGTCCTCCGCAGCGAAGCATGCTACTCTGCACGAAGCATACCTGTTCTGATCTTCCTCAGCATGCTTTCTGAGTCAGTTACAATCACGATGTGTGTGTGTGTTGTGTTCTCTAGCCAGCAAAAAGCTGCAGTGACCGCCTTCACCTCCATTCTTAAGCTAGATGTTGTGGTATCATATGCTAGGCTCTTCTGCACCAAACATTGACCATTAACCTTTGCTAAGAAACCCCAAGCACTTCTTTTGCCTCTTGACCCTGAACCGTCTGTGTAAATGATCAAATCCTCTGAGTGAGCATTATCTTGAATTAACTGCTGAATTTCCACCTCCGTGGCACCTGCTCGCCAGTCTCTGCATTCCCGGCTCAGCGTGATTATGACTCTACACAAGTCTGACTGTTCAGGTGGCACATTGACCCACTCCTCTCCTCGCCTAATGTTCTCAAGGATGCAAACCTGTCTGATTATGACTTCTGCCTGAGGCATCCATGACCTCCCTCTTATCAGCCGCTGACCCTTAACTGCACTCAGAGCTTCATGCAGAGGGTGGTCTGTGTCTGCAGCTACCCTGAGATATGACTTCGCCTGCATTTAAAATACATTTAAAAACAATTCATTTAATCAGTTTATCATAAATTGCAGAGTACAGTTGACCTAAAGATTTGTAGCTCAGAATTCTAATTTCGGCCTCTAGCTTCATAATGCATGTTATACCGACCATATAAGTTGACCCCTAGTGGTGGAGAAAATAAATTAGGTCGGAAAACTTGACTAAGGTGCAGCTAATTATGCCTCATTTATTTCCTTTTTTTTTAAAAACTGGTTTGTTAACTATATACATTTTCTCCTCATATCCCAGAATCCTCATGTTGTCACTTTGACTTCTCTCTACAGGGGATTTGATCTTGGCAACCATTTCAATGAATGGATGTTTGACTACTCCAGCTCTGGTCGACCGGGATTCACATGTACACATTCAAATTACCCAACGCGTGATGAACAGGTCAGAAACTAAGTCAAAACGGGTTTGTAAAATTAACTGAATAATTTACATGAGTAAATTAGTAAAGAAAACTAAGCATTAAAAATGTGTTTTTGCAAGAAAAAAGTAAGAATAAACGCCTGATGTCTGAAACCAGTGACAGGAAAAGTATTTGTGGAGAACAGCTGTTGTGATAAAGAGATGGAATGAAAGCCAAACAGAATTGGTTATATAATGGAGAACATAGAATTAACAGAATATAATAACATATAGTGTCAGCCTTTACTAAGTGAAGGAATAACTGATGCTACTGCATCTATATAGAAAGAAAAAATAGTTAAGCTAGATGAAATTATGGTAGAGAATTCAGCACTAAGAGGGTCTTAAGTAGAAATCTTAAATGTTGAATTAAGAATCGACACCACAGCACTTGGGACACTCCCATAAATGCTCAGTTACCATCTTCAGCAGCAAGTGAAAAGTTCCAATTCCAAAACCTGCACAAGTCTGAAACTTGTCAGACACTATGACCCACTCCTCACTTCACACAAAGTTATCAAGCTGCACACATGTCCTCCTTTCAGTCTGTGTCCCTTAGATCTACCCAGGGCTTTATGCAAGAGGTGCTTCTTGTCAGCAGCTACTCTAAGCTATGATTGTGCTTGCAGAATTTTGAGCCTACCTGCAATAGCAGGCAGTGCAAGTATTATATTGCATACATACTACCAGGTTATCTATTGTACATCCCTGAACTACCTGTATGGCTTCAGTCTGTATGCATTCAAGTTTTATCAGCTCACTGTTTGATATGGTAAGCACGTCAAGTCCACAATTTGTCACCGACGGGATCACATGCCGGAACATTGTGAACAACATTCTTTGTTCCATAATCTTGAGAACATTGAGTCCTTGTTGGCATTTAACCCCAAATGTCAAGGAAGGGATAGTAACACTATTTCTCTATAATTTTCACACCCCTGCAGGCCTTCTTTCATTGTCTTCTTCTTCTTCTCTTCCACCTTGTACCTCAGTGAAGTGTCAGAGGGGAAATGTAACGTTTACTGATGAGCTCTGTCAAGAGCACTATTAAGTCTGATGTTCATTTCTGTAAGGCTGTTCTTAATGCCATCACTCCATATTTTCCGAGGTTTTCCACTCGCTCTATACCCATTGTCACGTTTTAGTGTGGCTCGCTGTGACTGACAGTACCAGGTCATACTTGTTAGGTGTCCAAACCACTTTATTTGTTGTTGTTTGATGACCTGTAGGACTGGCTTTATTCCTAGCATTCGTCTGATTTTGTGATTTCGTATTCTCTCTTTCCTTGAAACTCATTCTGCTCTTGTAAGGCATTTCATCTATATTGTCACAACTTTACGTTCATTAAAGTTAGTTGCGTATCCTTTACAGGATTTTGCAGAACCAACCCCAGCATTTTTTGGGGCTGTTGTGGTTTTCTAGACAGGTTTACTACATCCAGTAGTTTGCGATTGCTTTCTAGACGGTCGACTTCTCGATACCCATGTCGAAACCAACACAAGGCGCAAACCCGGCACCCCAGCATTATGAAGCGAGCTCGCGGCGCCTAAGCCACAAATGCTGACATTAGAGGATGTAAATGTCCATGTTTGGCACTGATAGCATAGTGTTGGGCAAAAAAAATAGTTCTGATAAGATTCACTTTAGAACTCCGGGGTTTCTGCTGGTGTGTCAACAGGGAAGATAGTTGACCCATTACTTGATTAGCCTAAATACACCTTGGGTTAATTTCTTTGTAAGCTTCACTAAATATCTTCTGTACAGTTTCCTGGTTTTTCTTTAGTTCCCAGTCTCTGCTGTATTCATATGTTTTTTGTGTGTGTGCATATGTGGGCTAGTTTCTCTTTTCAAACTTTTTGTACTGGTAACATTCTCTCACTCTTCTGTTGGCATGCAAAATCTGGATAAATAACAAGCGCTTTGCTTGATTGCATATATGATGTAAAAGCATTTTAAAGGTCAAAGAGAAAGAATTCAACAGTTTAGATGCTGCAAGTGAATCTATCATTCTATCATCTGAATATCTACTTCATTGAACAGAATGAGGATTTAATGACCGCATTCTATCCTCAGAAATAGAAGACCACTAATGTTAGCTACTCATTTGTAGAGGATAGTTTATGGTTGGTTTTTTCCGTCACTGATGACCTGAAAGTGAGACAGGGCTGCATTGTCTCTCCAGGTACCAGGTCTAGAACAGATACGACTTCAGTTTGGCCCCTCTGCTACCAAGTCTAAAGAAAAACACTCTATTTGTGCTTGTATACCCACATGTGTGCGCGTGAATGAAGTACCTTGTGTGCCAAGTACCTTGTATGCCCGGTACACCCTGGAACAAGGCAAAAATACCTTGTTTTAGTATTACTTCAAGACAGCCTTGAAAAAAACTAAGAATACCTTGAAAAGGACCTTGAAAAGCCTTGAAATTTATTGGTACATTTTGCTATGAACCCTGCTTAGTATTTATGTTAACTTGAAATTTCTCTGTTACAGTACTGCTTTTTCCGCATGTACCTCCAAGCATCAGGAAAAGCCGATGTGACACAAGAAGACCTAGCATTGATGTTCAGGGAGACAAACACATTCACACTGCACTCACATTTCCTTTGGGGTGTGTGGGCTATGGTGCAGGCACAGACGTCAAGCATAGAGTTTGATTACACGGTGTGTACCCTGGTTCTAATTCCTCGGTTACATTCTTGAGGTGTCTATTGTTTGTGTGGAGAGTATTTACAATTTAGCAGAGATGACATAAAAGTTGAAATAGTCACTTCCTGTACTGATTATAAACGTTTCGAGTATTTTTTCGCACATACAGTGTATGCAATCCATGATGTAACCCAGGGGCCTCTATTAGTTTACCTCCACCATTTCTCATAGTAAAGTAGTAAAGTAAAGGACCCTTTCCACGCCTTGAGGCATATAGGGCTAGACCTATATTTTTATAGACCAGCGGCACAAGATGGGTGATGTGGTCAGCATCACGCCGGCCGCCTCTACTATCCAGGACTGCACCCGGTACCCACTCAAGGCTGGGTCAACCTGGGAGCCAAGGTCATTTTTTGAAGAAAAGTCCAGCTCTGCCAGGGAGCGAACCCACGACCTTCCGATCCGCGGCGCGCGTCTAGCCTCTCTGCCTTGGCGACTCCCACTGTTCCTCATACAAAGCATAATCATCCTATGTCGCTCACAACAAACCAGAGAAGAACATTAGTAACTATGGAGTTAGGATGTCTTAGAAAAGCTGTAGGGGTGGTCACAAAAGATCAAATCAGGGAAAAAAAGTTGGCCTAGAACCAATACTAAATTACATAACAAAGACACAGATTGAAGGGTTTGCTTATTGAAAGAGAATGCCTTGGGGGCGCAGAACTATACACTTGCGCAGTAAACCATACATTTGTGCACTATACCATACAAAACCATACATTTGCGCAGTATACATACAAAACCATACATTTGCGCAGTATACCATACATTTGCACAGTATACCATACATTTGCACAGTATACCATACATTTGCGCAGTATACCATACATTTGCGCAGTATACCATACAAAACCATACATTTGCGCAGTATACCATACAAAGCCTACAGAAAAGAGAGGAGGAGAGGGGCGTAGAGCAAGATATAGACCAGTAACAAGATAACATCAAAGAAACTCAACATGAGTGCAATGTGTCCATGGACTGTCCTCTTTGACACCTGCAGCAATAATAGAGGACATGAAGAAGAAGTCTCCCCATTAATAATTATTTTTCTAGTATTAGCAATTGCAGCAAATTGGCAATAAACATGTCAGTAGAACACAATATGGAGAGGCTGGCTGATGATAAATCTCAGCTAACTCACTGTTGTAGCTGATCTGAGATTGAAGCCTGGCCAGGCATGTCTTTGGCATCTCAAAAGTCAAGACAGCAGACAATATATACCAGCCTCTCATAGAAACATTCAGTAGAGACCCCTTGTTAGAATGGCTGCTGCATTGGAGGACTAAAAACACAGGAAACGCTCAGTATGCTTAATGTCGATTGTGATAACATAACAGCATTAGGGAAATCAATATTATTCACATATTTGTGAAGGAATTAAAGTGTGATTTGTTTCCTGAAGTGATGCAGTGTGAACTTTTTTGCTAGGACACCATTTGTAGCTAAACCTAGATATTTTACTTTTGATTTTTTTCCCATGAATTATTGAAAAAGAAACAGTGGAGGACACCAGACAAACTTTCAGACCACAGTATACAAGCTTAGAATATTTCTTATTGTAATGTTGAATATCTAGTTAGGTAGTGTCGGCTTAGCCTTGTGGCAATAACAGGCAGCCTAAATAAAATTGACTGTTGCCGAGTTCTTGGTATCCCTGAATGGGTGCTGTTCTTAAATTGGTTATCTGGCAAATAAGCTAGTGTAGCATGAGCCAGAAGGACACGCATTAAGACATCCATTACATGGTGTAGTGGCACTTTCAGGTAGAGTTGGTATTTGCGCCGTATTTTGATGATTTCTTATAAGAATTAAAAATAGCCAGAAGTATAAGCAGACTGCTTTGGCTCTGTGGCTAAGTCGATGCGAACGCTTCGTAGTGCCGGATTTGATCCCAGCTGCGGGCCAAGCGCCTTGCTTTCGACAGTGGTATCAAGAAGCCAGCCGTCCAGGAAGCAATGGCAAACTACTGGACGTAAATTAGCCTATAGAAACCACACAACAGCCAGGGGCTGCTGGTGTTGGTTCAGCAACGTCCTGTAAAGGATACACAACTAACCTTTTAGGCAACTGCAGTGGTCAGCATTTCTTACTGCAGGTAAAGAATGTGAGTGGATGGATACGTGAGGGTGGATATGTGGGGGAGGAGTGGATGGATACGTGGGGGAGGAGTGGATGGATACCTGGGGGAGGAGTGGATGGATATGTGGGGGAGGAGTGGATGGATACATGGAGGAGGAGTGGATGGATACGTGGGGGAGGAGTGGATGGATACGTGGGGGAAGAGTGGATGGATACGTGGGGGAAGAGTGGATGGATACGTGGGGGTGGATACATGAGGATGGATACATGGGGGTGGATACGTGGAGGAGGAGTAGATGGATACATACGTGGGGGTGGATACGTGGGGATGGATACGTGGGGGTGGTAGGGACAAAGAGAACACAGGATCAAAAGAAAACACAGTAGAGGACTGAGAAGGTTGTGTCAGGAATCTGAGTGACTTACAGTAAGAATGTAATCTAAACAAGCAACATTCATTTATGATCTGATATAATTGCAGTGATACCTGGTTAGCAGATGACAAGTAATCCACCATTTTGTTTAATTAGTGAGTGATTTATGGTTACCTCTGCAGCATGGAGCAAAGTGCAAAGATAATATTTTAATTTAAATGTGGGAAAAGTGCCGCTGATATAGTTGAAGTAATGAGACTAATTTATGAAAATCAGTGTTTATTTGGTGTGCGCATATTCAAGTGGTATTCACAGTTTAAAACAGGTGGAAATGATTGAAGGTGAAGCCAGACAGGGACATCTAGTTTCTGTTTATACTGACCAACTCATTGCCGGAGTTAGAGAATGTAGAACATGAAGATTGCTGTCTTACTGCGAGGATGAAGACAGATGAATTATGCACATTTATAATTCTCTATGTGCATATCAACTAACATCTCACATATTTCTGTCCACAGGCCTATGCTCTTGCCAGATTTGAAGCCTATTTCAGAGTTAAAAAAAGTTTACCTGAAATGTTCACAACTGAGGGCAGTTAGCAGAAATATGTGCTACATTTCTTTCATATTTCCAATCTTCTAGGGGTACAAATCAAGTTGGTTGTAATGCATTTTTTTCTCTCTCTCTTGTATATTTGCATCTGTTCTGTTGAACTTATTTATAAGATGTCATCATGTCATTTTAAATTTTTTTTTCAATTCATTCATATCATACATATGTCTTTGATCTCAACAAACAGTGAAATTACATTAATTATTAAAAAAAAAATATTTTTTTTGTTCTATGATTTTTGAATATTCTGAGTTATGACAATTCGAACAACTTCACAATTATGATAATTTTCAGTTGATACTATACCCTCAACTTGAGACACTTGCTTTACATTTAGACCTCAGTGACATGACACTACCACTCACATATACATGACACTACCACTCACATATACATGACACCGCCACTCACATATACCTGACACTACCACTCACATATACACGACACCACCACTCACATATACATGACACTACCACTCACATATACCTGACACTACCACTCACATATACATGACACTACCACTCACATATACACGACACCACCACTCACATATACACGACACCACCACTCACATACACATGACATTACCACTCACATATACACGACACCACCACTCACATATACATGACACCACCACTCACATATACACGACACCACCACTCACATATACACGACACCACCACTCACATATACATGACATTACCACTCACATATACCTGACACCACCACTCACATATACCTGACACCACCACTCACATATACATGACACCACCACTCACATATACCTGACACCACCACTCACATATACACGACACCACCACTCACATATACATGACACTACCACTCACATATACACGACACCACCACTCACATATACATGACATTACCACTCACATATACCTGACACTACCACTCACATATACCTGACACTACCACTCACATATACACGACACCACCACTCACATATACCTGACACCACCACTCACATATACATGACACTACCACTCACATATACACGACACCACCACTCACATATACATGACACTACCACTCACATATACCTGACACTACCACTCACATATACACGACACCACCACTCACATATACATGACACCACCACTCACATATACCTGACACTACCACTCACATATACATGACACCACCACTCACATATACATGACACCACCACTCACATATACATGACACTACCACTCACATATACCTGACACTACCACTCACATATACCTGACACTACCACTCACATATACATGATACTACCACTCACATATACATGATACTACCACTCACATATACATGACACTACCACTCACATATACACGACACCACCACTCACATATACATGACACTACCACTCACATATACCTGACACTACCACTCACATATACACGACACCACCACTCACATATACATGATACTACCACTCACATATACACGACACCACCACTCACATATACATGACACCACCACTCACATATACATGACACTGCCACTTACATATACATGACACCGCCACTCACATATACATGACACCGCCACTCACATATACATGACACCACCACTCACATATACATGACACCACCACTCACATATACATGACAATACCACTTACATATACATGACACCGCCACCCACATATACATGACACCGCCACCCACATATACATGACACCACCACTCACATATACCTGACACCACCACTCACATATACCTGACACTACCACTCACATATACATGACACTACCACTCACATATACCTGACACTACCACTCACATATACCTGACACTACCACTCACATATACCTGACACCACCACTCACATATACCTGACACCACCACTCACATATACATGACACCACCACTCACATATACATGACACCACCACTCACATATACATGACACCACCACTCACATATACATGACACTACCACTCACATATACATGACACCACCACTCACATATACATGACACCACCACTCACATATACATGACACCACCACTCACATATACATGACACCACCACTCACATATACACGACACCACCACTCACATATACATGACACCACCACTCACATATACACGACACCACCACTCACATATACACGACACCACCACTCACATATACATGACACCACCACTGACATATACATGACACCACCACTCACATATACATGACACCACCACTCACATATACATGACAATACCACTCACATATACATGACACCGCCACCCACATATACATGACACTACCACTCACATATACATGACACCACCACTCACATATACATGACACCACCACTCACATATACATGACACCACCACTCACATATACATGACAATACCACTTACATATACATGACACCGCCACCCACATATACATGACACCACCACTCACATATACCTGACACTACCACTCACATATACATGACACCACCACTCACATATACATGACACTACTACTCACATATACCTGACACTACCACTCACATATACCTGACACCACCACTCACATATACCTGACACCACCACTCACATATACCTGACACCACCACTCACATATACATGACACCACCACTCACATATACCTGACACCACCACTCACATATACCTGACACCACCACTCACATATACATGACACCACCACTCACATATACATGACACCACCACTCACAAATACATGACACCACCACTCACACATACATGACACCACCACTCACATATACATGACACTACCACACACATATACCTGACACTACCACTCACATATACCTGACACTACCACTCACACATACAGGACACCGCCACTCACATATACAGGACACTACCACTCACACATACAGGACACCGCCACTCACATATACATGACACTACCACTCACATATACATGACACCACCACTCACATATACACGACACCACCACTCACATATACATGACACCACCACTCACATATACATGACACTACCACTCACATATTGCTGGAGTAACATGAAATGCTGTGTTCATATCAGCATAGTAGCATTTAATTACTTGTTATGTGGCACCTTTTTACTGTTTCCAAGACATTTTATGTGAAGTGATAAACTTGTCTCAGTTTTGAAGATTTATTAATTTGTGCACCTGACAAATGTTTTATAGCTTCTTTTGTGTTAGGTTTCCCTGAGGGTTTTCTTTGTTTAATTTACAACAAATGCTGTTGTAATCCATTAAATGCTGTTACATTTAATGTTTAAAGGACAAATTACTGCTGAGAATGATGGATTTCTCTAACAGGATATTTTATCTCAGAAAGTACGCCACTACTAAAGGTCTATAAACACTTACACTGTCATATACAAAATACTAATGGACTGTTTTCATTTGACTGTGGGTGTGAAGAGAAACCCCTATCTAGCTATCTTAACATAAGTGTATACACTCGACTTAGTACACCTGCAGCTTCAGAAAAGTACCAACAACAGATTTCATAAAAATGCTCAACCATTTATGCATGCAGCTAGCGAGATCCTTCTTATTTTTATTTTTAGCACTCACCAGCTGTAAACTCCAGGGCAAAGCTCTGGTTGTTCACCCACTTTTGGATTGTGGTCGGGTTCCAGAACTACATTTTTGCACGTACACTATTGTCCTTGGCACATTGGGGACGACCTTGGCACATTGGTGACCGTACGTTGCCTGTATTCTTTGATAAATGTCCATTGATCGATATCCTTCAAATGAAAGAAATATAATCACTACTCTTTAAGCTTAGTATCCCCCCCCCCCCCTAATATTTGAAATAGCTTACCTCAGATAGTAAAAGGTATTTCACACCTGTACATTTGTAGGTTGATTTATTTGTGGGCGACTGTCATGAGTGTTAATCACACCTATCATTCTAACACACACTTGTTTTTTTTAAGATGCCACTATTCAGTTATTGTTTTGGTTTGCTTGCACCTTGATCTGGGGTGAGTGCCTTATTTGGACTACAGTGTAATATTACTGACCACTTAGCTCAGTTTTTTTTTTTTGGGGGGGGGGGGGGGAAGTGTGTGACCTTGTTAGTTATAGTAAGGGTCCAGATTTGACACTGGTAACATAAAAGTTTTTTTTTTTTAGAGGACGGTGGTGTTCTCAATTTTGTGTGTGCAAATAACTAGATATAAATAGGTAAGTTGCGTTTCAGAACCAACCCCAGCAGCCCCTGGCTGTTGTGTAGTTCCTCTAGGCAAATTTACGTCCAGTAATTTGCCATTGCTTTCTGGACGGTTTGCTTCTTGATACCACTGTCGAAACCAACGCAAGGCGCATGGCCTGTAGCTGGATCGAACCCGGCATTACAAAGCGTTTGCATTGACTTAGCCACAGAGCCGCCAGGTATAAATAGCAGAAGCAGAAGAGCGTCTCCAGAGCCATCTGGGTTAAGTCAGCACCAGGTGCCGCAAATATCACGTGAAATTAGCTTTGAAGAGACAGAGACGGTGATGATAGGTAGACAACCAGAAATCATGTCAATGAAAGCAGTTGACACAGATATAAAACAAACAAGGAAATTTAAATATCTTGAGTCACTTTTCATACCAGAAGTAACAGTAATGGAGAAATCAACATGCAATATGTAAATCAGGTACTGCGACATCTAACACTACTTTTGACATATAGAAGATTACCTTTGTCTACCAAGAACCATCTGATAATAACTATTTTTTATTTTAAACTTTATGCTACCAGTATCATACCTGGGCCCTTATTTAAAAAAATGAACGCAAAATCATAATAAAAGAAATGAGATATCTTAGAAGAGCTTCCAGAGTACAAAGAAAAGATAACTTCATTTTTTTTAGATAACGCGACTGCCCCCCAACAAGCTTATCATAATAGTCAATTAATTAGGGGTGTTTCCTTTGAAGTTAGAGTGCATGTGCCTAAGAGGTAAGGAACCAACAGTATGCTTACAAATAAGCCAGTTCTGTAAAATGAATGTGCACAC